TATGGAGAAAATATATGAAATATTGGATTCCAATTGGACTCTAGCTTGGGGCTCACCGAGTTGGAGCGTCCTTCGGTGCTGCTGTTATGGAAGACGCGGCAAAAGTCGCGAAACCTTGAATCCGGACCGCAAGTGTTATACGTAAAAGACAGTATGAAATCATTATAGGGTAAAAACTCCTGCGACTCAAACAGCAGGGCGTAAGTATTGTGATGTCCCAGATAGGGTCCAACCGCACGTGCCATCAGGCTGTCCATGTTGTTCATGAAGGCAACCGGAGCCAGCATATAGGCTGTCTTGATTTTCTCATTGTACTCGGGACGTGTGGACATAAGTGCTAGGAAAACAGTCGTTCCTTGCGAGTGGCCCACATAGTGAATGGATTCTTGTGCCTGTCCGTTTGTTTTCAGGGCATAGTCGATCATGGCCGCAATATCAAAGTGGCCAATTTCATGCCAGCTGAAGCGCCAGAAATGTGGATGCTGCGTGGACATCGACGAGTGGTTCCGTGAGTACGTATTGCCGCGTGCATTGCCCAGCCAGACATCGTAGCCGGCATCGGCCAGTTGAAAGGCCAGGGCATTATCGGGACCCATGGCGATCCAATTGTCGGAGCTACCCGATATGCCATGCTGCATGAGCACAATGGGACGATACTTATCCTGATTTTGCAGCTTGTGCGAATGGGGGATGCGAAATAATCCAATCACGTAACCGTCTTTGGTGGGCACATAATGCAGTTCTCCCGGATATCCGTGCGCTCTAATGCGATCATCCTAAATATTATTGTTATCCTCAAATATGGCTTTTGGCTTCTCCATCGCAGCTTACCGTTTTCAGTCTGGGGTTCAATTTTAAATGTCCCTCCGGATCGTTAAAGAGTTGGTAGAAATCCGAGCCCTCAAAGACACTTGGGTGTAGACCCGGAGGAGCACTTTGAGCAACTGTCCAAATGCATAGAGACGACAAAATAACGATGAGGTTTCTGGCCATGTTGCGGTTGGAACTGTTCGCTCTAAATATATAGAACAGGCCTTTTAAAGACCTCTGCCGGGCACTTAAGCCTAATCTGCCGATAAGCGACTACCTCTGGACCCGCCCGATCCAATAGCATTTGCCAAAATTTAAGTGGAGCACAAACTCTAATTACGGTATAATTATATTCCCATTTATTGCTTAGATCTATTTATGTGATTCAACAGCGCACGCGAGCCGGAATGCTTTTTATTTGATAGTTCTCGCCGATCTTGAGCACGGCCGCCATGCCCTGCACTGCATGTGATTCGATGTGACAGTGATAGCTCCAGAAACCCGGATTGTCCGAGATGAAGCGCAAAATGACGTAACCCAGTCCGGGAACCTGCACGGTGTCCTTAGCCACGGCCGCATAGTCATCCGGCAGACGAGACAGACGTCCACGGCGGTCCAGCTCGCGTATCTGTGGAGGAAGCAATATTAGAGCGAAGCTCTCTAAAGGTAGACCTGGCTGACTCACATTTCTCAGGTCACTTAAGCTGCCCAGCACGCCCTGGCCGACCAGGCGGAAGGTGAAGCCATGCAGATGTATGGGATGAGTGGCATCCATATGGTTGGCCACAACCATTTCAATGGGACGATAGGCGGGCAGCCGTATGACATGCACGCATTCGCATACTTCCCGTCCACAATTGCGTCCCAGCGTGGCCAGCGAGCTGCGATTGCAAAAGTAGCCATCGTCCTGGTACAGATGCCGTCCCTGCAGCATTGAGATGCCCGGCGAATTGTAGCTAATCTCGTCGATCTGGAAGAGCTGTTCACCATTTGGTGCCTGCCGCATGCTCAAACTGGAATAATGTGTTAAGAACTTGGTATAACTTGACCAGGGAACCGGCTCCACGGAGCGCAGCGACACAGTGCCCACATCCTTGTCCTTATTCGACTTGCGTAATGTTGATATCGATGCATTAAGGGGCTTGAAACGGAAATCATTGATATAGGTGGGAGGTTCGTCCAGCTCCCTGCCCTGTTGACCATCGAATATGTCACCCTGGGGCAGCTCGCTGCGAGCCGCTCCCCGATAGCTGAGTACCGCGCCCTGATATAGTTTACGCTCCTCGCACTGCTCGTAGCCACGTACGCGTATCCAATAGTTTTTGGCAAACTGATTCGCCTCCAGCACAAAGTCAAAGCGTTCCGCTGAGGTCAGAAAGAAGCCATCAGCCAGCACGGGGACAATGTCGTTGCCATCGGTGCTGATGATCAGCAGCTTGTGCTGCTCAATGGAGAACTCCACGGGACAATTGAATACGCCGTTGAGCACGATGCGCATCCGATAGCGATAGCCGGGCGTAACACGCAGCCGTTCGTAGCGGTGCCTGGCATCCTGATCCGGCAGCTGGCTCAGATGATTGCGTCCCTTGCCATTGATCAGAATATTGCGCGCCTGCTGAATGTTGTAGTCGTAGAAAATGTCCTGCACCATGAGGGCGTGCTCCACCAGGTCGTAGTCGTAGAGACGCGCATGCGGATTCGCCTGATGCGGTTGTCGCACAATTAGATTCCCGGCCACACCGAAGCCGCGCTGCCAGCCGACGTGGCTGTGGTACCAGAGGGTGCCGCTGCGATCCGCCTGAAACTCATAACGATACACCTCGCCCGGCTCCACCGGATACTGGGTGACATGGGCAACGCCATCCATTTCGGGTGAGCGCGACATGTGTACGCCGTGCCAGTGCATCGTGCTGGGCTCATTCAGGTAGTTCAGCACGTCCACGACCACGGTATCGTTCTCGCACAGCTCTATGGCCGGGCCGGGCACCATGCGGTTGACGGCCATAACAGGCGAGGAGACGCCATCTCCGTAGATGCAATTCTCCGCGGCACAGGCACGCTCATCAAACTGGCAACGTTGGCACTCGGCGCCCAGGCGGCGATAGTTGTGCACCACCAGCTGGTAATAGCAGCTCTGCGACTGACCCTGCTGACAGACGCGACGGCAGGGATGCCGCTCGAAGCCGCTGAAACTGGACACATCCGCTGGATCGTAGTCGTCCTTTAGCTGCAGGCCCGCGCCCAGCTGGGTTGGCTTGTTGGTTCTGTTGTGGCGCGACCAAGGAAACGTGATCCAGTCAATTTTGGCACTCGGCTGCAGCTGAGCCTGTCCCAAGTCCAGAGAGCAGCAGCATAGCAAAGCCCCAAGAAGCGCACTGATTAGATGGCTTTTACTTTCACGCCCACACCTATTCCAAGCAATCATGTCAAGACTCAACCTTCAACTGTGCCCGAAGGCCTAGTGCAGCGCCCGAAGAAAGTTTGGAAATCCAAACTTGATGTCCGCAAATAGTTGGGCATGCGCAGCACGTGCCATTAATAAAAGCTGAGCTGCATTTTATTTGTGTTTAATTTGCTGGAGACTAAGAACGATTGTCTCAATTGTACTGGACTTTTAGATACTCTTTATTATTATTAACTAGCTGGTATTTCCCGGCCAATGTTTTTTGCTTCAAATTTTAACTTTAGCCGTAGGATGTGGAGCAGTTTGTCCTAAGTTATCTTTTAAATTGGTATGTTAAAACCAGTTTGAAGTCCATCGAATTTTTGGCCCATTTTAGTTCCGTAATGCGAAACTTTATCCCGAAATATATATATTTTGTGAGATGTATAAACACGTTTCGTTTGGATAGTAAACAAACCCGTTTTTTCGTCAAATTTCTATTTAATAGAGGTTTAAAAATAATTTAAAATCCGATCGGCCAAAATTTAAGACTTCGCCCAAAAAATGTTTAAATCACACACGAAGTGGCTTGGACTTTGCGAAAAGTTTGAAATATGTCTCAAAGGATGTTTCATAAAGATACTTGGAAATGAATTTAAATCCGTAACTTCAGCCACCAAATTTTTGATCCCTATTTCCACCAAGGAGGGTTGAATTTTTCGAAAAGGGGGAATCACGCCTCAAATAAATTTGAACAAAGTTCGAGGTCGATCGGTTGGTAAACGAAAAGTTGTAAACAAATGCTGAAATTTCCCGAAACCCCGCCTTAGCGTGGACCTTATAATATCTCTTACGGCTTGTCAGTTAGCACAAACAGTTTTATATATAAAGAAAAAAAGATCGGAATGTATCTTGGCCAATAGCTCAATTTAATCTAAGTTGAAATTGGATTTAAATTGGATGTTGCTACCCAGGGACCTGGTTTTCTTTACAAGAGGAATTCTTTAAAATTAATATCCTTATTACAAACGTTATTAAAAGTTATAATCATGCACAGGTCAATCATGAAGAATAGAATAGTCAATAAGAATTGACTCGGGCGCAAAAGCCGCGGAAGCCATAATCTTCAAGACATGCAGAATTGAATTTGAAAAAAAATACTTTGTTCTAAAAATTTAAATCGGTTTCCAATGATTTCAATAGTTTTCAATGAGCAGTGCACATAAAGTTTATTGGCTTGGTATTAGCCAAAATTGAAAAAACAATTTCAAAGGGAAACTAAATTAATTCAGGCGCATCTCTTAAAAATTGTTTTAGCATCACAAGAGAAAAAGTGGACAGTCTTTCACTCACTTAAAATATAATTGGCCCATTGTTTTCGGGTCTTTGGTTTAAAACAAATCCAATAGTTTCCGAGAAAACGAAATATATTTGTGCATAGAGCTGAAGAGCAGACATGTGAGGGGAGGCAAGAGTCTAGCGGCATGTCCAGTAATGTCTAGGAATATATTGCTGCCCAGCTGGTCATATCTAGCCCAAATAGCACTGTGGAGCAAGTCGGTCAAGCCTGATACACCTTAATCTAAGACCTAACTCCTACACCCAAGCTCAGAGCCGTTTGTGATGATTAAAGTGTCTGATAAGTGTTAACTTTCAGTTTTAATTTTATTTTTTTTATTTCGATAAGTTCACTTTCAGTGCCAATTCGTGCTTTTCCACAAAATTAGCTGAAATTGTTGTCGACAGTTAACTACCTATAAAAATTACTTTTAATTTAATTGTGAATTAATATGAAAATTGATGAATTATTATTTAATAGCTGCTCAAATGATTTTCCAAAAGTTTAGGCATCGCCTTGCGGCGCTGGCGGGCTGGTTGGCGCGGGGGATCCGCTCGAGGCTGTGTTGGATGTGCTCATCAGACTGATGACCCCACAGGCGATGGGTGGACCCACCGACATTTCCTCGTTCTGATAGGCCAAGGCATTGGGCACGGTCAGCGCGGAAGAGAAGACCTCCGCATTGAGCGCCGTGTTCAAATCGATTGGCTTACTGTGTATGACCACGGAGCGGCCGACGATGCCATTGAAGCCAAACAGCTGCAGGTAAATGCTCATGAATACGGCCGATATGCTGCCGTCTGGCTTGACATCCAGGTTGCCCAGCTGCCAAGAGGAAATGTGAATCTCCGAGCAGAACAGACAGACAGTTGCGACTTACGAAGTTGTTGGGAAACTGTCCGCCAGTTGACTTGCAGCCCTCGCTGACATCGCCGTATGCGTGTATGTGCAGCGCATGCTTTCCGGGCGGCAGTCCAGTCACATTGATGGTCACCCTGATGTCACTGTTGTAGGGCAGCTGCTGGAAGCTGATCATGCCGGCGGCAGACGCCGACTCGCCCTCGCCCATGAGCTTGGCGCCCGCCTGCCACTGCGGTACCTACAAAGAAGCATCTGTTAATTACTGTGTAAAAGAAAAAAGCGTATACCTACATAGGCGTAGCCCAGGTATGCCGGCTGCGGGTGCAACAGCGGGCTGAGCAGCGCGGCAGCGCCAATGCCACCAATAACCGGACCAATCCCACCCAGCGGCACGGTCATCCGTTCGTAGCGCTTCACCTTAGTGCCGGACACCACTTTGATATCATCGATGCGCGTCAGATTCGCGGGCGCGGTTACGGGTCTCAGGCGATCCAGCAAATTTTGTGCGCTGCCAGGCACAAAAATGCTATTTAATAGCATAAATGCCAGAATGGGCTTGGAGCGGAACATGGCGCTTAATTGCTTTAAACGGTTTATGAGGACTTGTAATGTGACTGGGGAAAAAGCTTCCGTTCTCTATGAATATTTTGACCTAACTGAACTGGACGCTCTGTGGGCCCGTCTATATCGTTTGTCGTTCGGTTGACTTCGACACGGATTTCATGCTGATTGAACACGTTAATTGCTGGATGGATGGATGATGACCAGATTGTGCTGGAGCTCAATGGCAATTGAGTGTCGCGTGTTTGATGCTTGGCTACCTGTCCATGGACGTAGCTCTACTACTTGTTCCCAAAGCCAAACTTAACATTATTTCTACCAAAGATGTCAAAAGACACCTTTTCCATTTTTAACTTGAAATTATTTTCTTAGTTGAATAATTTGTATTTTATTTTATTTTATTTTTTTCTTTATATATATAGTTTTATTTTAACAAGGGCCAATCGGAACTCAAGAGTGTCCTATAATGCGCTTAGAATCAAGTTAGGTATTAAGAATAAGTAGATAAATAAAAACTAAGTAAAAGTCGTAATGAATTACGGCCTTAGGTGACCTCCTGGACGCCTTCTGCGCCGTGAATTCCCCCGTGGGAGAAGGCAATTGTAGTAGCAATTTTTTCTAAATTTTCTTTTTGATAATTCATTAATTAATTGTTAAATTAATTTAGTAGTAGCATAATCCTCGACAAATAAAAATAAAAAGAGATTAATTTTGAAAATTTGTACCTCTCTTATTAGCTAAAGTGTCAAAAGACACCTTTTGGTTGAAATAGGCATAGACAAAACCTTGGTGGAAATAGTGTTAATAAATATTTTAGAAATATTTATTTTTATATTATATATTTTTATATATTTTAGAAATATTTATACCCCTTTTTTACCCAACATTTAGCAGTTATCGACGTCTCTGTGTGACGGACATACAATTTGGTAGGGCAAATCGAACAAAACGCAAAATTAGATCGGCATTAATAAAATTGAAAGTGAAAAAAAGCTAACCTCAAATGTTAAACGACATGCGAGATTTTTGTTCTAGATGACATAGTTTTTATTTTTAATTGCTCCCTATTAACAATCAACATTTGGATTCATTTATGTGTGTTTTTGCAAAATATGTTAAATTATGTGATGGACAAGTAGGGAGAATGGAAAAACTATGAAATGTTCTATCGTAAATAAATATCAATTTTGGTAGTTATTAATGACCGCACGCCGAAATTGACACTGCAATGCGGTCGTCTATTTAGCTTAACGGAAATCACTGCGTTGATAGTCCCCCTGCTGACGTTGATTGTAGCCGCCGCCGCGTCCGCCGCCGTGGTAGCCGCCGCCGCCACCTCCGCCGCGTGCCCCAGCTTGAGGATTCCAGCCAGAGCCCTGAACACGTCCGCTGTTGTTAGTCCATTGCTCTCGTTGCTGTTGCTGTTGGTACGGCTGTTGATTTTGCGGTTTTTGCCAGTTTTGAGGTCCGCCACCGCGTCCACCACCTTGTCCGCCACCGCGGCCACCACCTTGTCCGCCACCGCGTCCGCCACGGAAGTTGCCACCACCACCACCACGGCCTCCGCCACCACCTCCGGGTCCGCCGGCACGTTGCTGTTGCCAGGAAGGCATCTCTGGCGGCGGTGGCGCGTGCTCATTAGCGCGTCCACCGCGATCCGGCACATTGCCAATCACATGTTTTTCTATTTTCGAAGCCGTATTCTTGCGCACATTCGCTGAGCTCGTCTTCTCAATAATCGCCAAATCCGCACGCGCCGCCAGCAGCGCCACAATGTTGGTATCATCTCCGCCATACTGGAGCTTCTCAATCTCCTTGAGCTTACGCTGAAAACGATCTCCAATCTCGCCCTGACGCGTCCTCATGCTCTCGGACCATTGAAAACTTTGAACTGTCGCTTCCAATCGCGTTAGCATCATTTGTCGCCGCAGATTGTACTCCGCATCCAGATCTCTGTGCATGCTCTCTAAGACACGCCACTGAGCATCAGTCAAGGGTTTATTTGTACGCATCAATGGCTCACTGATCACCGCCGGGCTCGTCTGCTTCAGTCGCTGTTCCAGTTTAGGCGTCAGCCGCTCGAACAATTGCTTTGCATTGATGTTTTTTGGCAGCTCGCCCAGCTGCAGGTCTGCCGTCAGCTGTGTCACCGTCTCCTGTAGGTGCGACTCAGTTTTGGATTTTTTACTGGGCGGCTCGACGGGCTGCAGCTTCAGCGACATCTTCGTGGCCATGAGCTCCGAGGTGAGGTAATCTAGTAGATGCAGCAGTGATGTGCGCGTTTGGAAACGTTCCGACATGGGCACCGCTACAAACTGGCGGTACGGGCAACCCAGCTCAGTCAATAGCAGCGATAGCTCGAATGCAAATTCGCTGTGATCCTTGCTGCTAGAAGCTACATGCTCGTCGGTCTTCCGCAGCACATGCAATTGATTGGCTAGCCAATAAATCAGTTCACGCAAGTCCCCGCTGCCAATGCCGCTGTCTAGGGCTTGGCACAGAGTCTCCTGCTCTACTTTTCTGTACCCAAGTGCATCCAAGGAATCTATAATATCTAATTCGAGATCCATTGCCGGCTGTTTTCTTGCTTTATTTTCCGGTTGTTTTCGTTTTTTCTCCGGCTGCCAATTTAAGATTTTTGGTCACACTAATTCATATGTCATATTTAACATGTATGTTAAACAGCGACAAGACATTACATTTTCTCAACTGTTATTAACACCGGTTTTATTTAAAAGAAACCCGGCAAATTTTTTTTATTTATTTATTTAAATTGTAGTTGCTTAGCGTAAGTCCCGTAGATAAAGACGGTTCCAATAGGCTACGCTTTTTTTGGACCTATCTAGTTTTGCATCAAATTGCCCAATAAATTAAATAACTTACAAATAAGACTTACCATGCTAACAGTACCAAAATGAGTATAGTATTGATACGAAGAATATATTTCGAGAGGCCATTTAACAACGTTATTTAAACTCAAAACTGTTCAGCTTATTATGAATTAATGAATAAACATATAATAAAAAGGAAATAATATGATAAAATACTTTCATTACATTGTGTAACACAAGTCCGTATATATAACAAAACATATGAAGACATGTCTCCATGACTATATTGAAAACAAACGGAAATTTAAATCGATACATATAATTTACATACAATTTTGTAGGTTGGTTAGGAACATTTAACCCCTTGGCTTACCCATATTAAAAATGTACATTCACAAACAAATGAATGCATACAGTAAAAAATATAATTTTTATAATTCTGCATTTCAATTGCATATTTGGGTTTCTACTTAAAAACATAATTAAATGCATTGATAAATGTGTTATTCTGGTTCTAGAACCAAGTTTTTGCCGCTAAGTGACCGATGCTTTTTTAACATTGTTAATTTGACGCACGTCGTGCTTTAGGGGCCATAGATGACACAAAGGTAACAGAAACGAACTAGTTGAACTAGTTGGTTTTGTTCGTTCGTTCAGCCAGTCGCTCAATTGAACATATTCCGAAAATTTCGATACAACTCTACCAACTACTTATACTTGAGTGAGAATATTAATTAAAAAGCTAATATTGCTTTGAACATTTTGTGCCATTAATAGGTAAAAAGATTTGTTAAATTGATACATAAATTGAAAATGTGCACGAATCAAATGTACAATGTAAAAGATTAAAAATTGAGACGTACGCCCAATTTGGCAAGACCTGTGTTGTTGTTGTTGGCTTCAAACACAAATACAAGTGTTGGCCACTTTAGCTAACAGCACAAGCTAAATTGAGAGAAAATCTCATCAAAATATAGTCAAGTAACCGGATTCAGCCTGAAAATGGCTGAATTATCAACACTGATCAACAGAAGAGACACTTTTCTGATATTTTGTTTGCCGTTTTCAGTGAGCTAAAAACGTTGAACGCGTACGTAGACATTGATTGAGGCGAGCTGCAACAAGTGAAAGCCAATTACCAGAAATGCCGCCCGTTCAGTAAGCGAATCAGAAGAACATTTCATTGAATTGAATATTAACGACATTACATCATCATAACGCCCATGTGGGGTCCAGTGCAAAAATTGTGACCCAAATATTCGCTCGCATCATTCATTTATTTGGTCAAGGTGCTGCAAAATGAAATTGTTAAAAAAACACATCGTAAAACGCACTTTAAATGTAATTATGCGTATCATTATATTTGTTGTATCTGTGATACATCTGCACGGTGTTTTTTGTCTGCACAAGCTGCATTTTCGTGGTATTAAAGCACCAGATGTTTACTCCATCGATGACGTCATGGCAACATTCAAATTTATTTATAGACGCCGCCGCCGCACATTTGAGTATCTGTGTGTTGTTTACCTATTGCAATATTTGTGCGTGTACGTGTGTGCGTGTGTGTGTGTGCGTATTGAGTCTGTTGCTGTGGCGCGCAATTCAAACCATGCAAATCCATTGATACTCGATTCCATTTACTGATCCTCCGCACATCTGCAACGTTTAACGACTGCACTTCAACTGTCTACACCCAAACTGCAAAAGCTACAAACCAAAGCTACTTTTTAGTACATTGCCAAACTCAGTTCACAAGGAATGCAGAGCTTTTTGTACATTCGTCAGAAATATGATTCAGCAACGTCAACAATGCTTGTTCGCTTACTTGATAAGCCAGCCACGCAAAGTGTTTGTCCCCCAAACGTCTCCGTTTCCAGTTGCCTTTCTCATACGCTGCCCTACAGTTGTGCGCTTAAGCCATCATCATGATGTACTCCAAAGCTGAAGTGTAACTGCTTGCTAATCGAGTTTGCCCTTTATTATATTTATGCTAATCTTCAATTGTTCTTTTGTGACCTTGCAGAGTCCAGGCCATCAACATGTCGCTGGGTGCAATGCATTGCACGAGATGCGCCGACGGTTTCGAGCCCACCGAAAAGATTGTCAACTCCAACGGCGAGCTTTGGCATACGCAGTGCTTTGTGTAAGTGCACGATACTATATACTCCCTGTAGAGTAAATTGTCAATATAAGCAATATATGACGAAACTTAAAGCGTGTAAAGCGCTATAGGTAAGAAAGAAAATCAGGCCTAAAATAATTGATTAGCTAAAAGAGACACCCGCCCTAAACAACTGTGCGTCAGCAAAGCTTTTAAGTGTCTCCTGGGAGAAGTCACATATGCAATTAGTTAACTGTAATGTTATTAGAAGTCAATCTCTAATTCGTTTGCCTACTTTCCATTTTACAGCTGCGCTCAGTGCTTCCGACCGTTTCAGGATGGCATTTTTTACGAGTTCGAGGGACGCAAGTACTGTGAACGGGACTTCCATGTGCTATTTGCGCCCTGCTGCAACAAGTGCGGTGAGTTTGTTATCGGGCGTGTTATCAAGGCCATGTCCGCCAGCTGGCATCCACAATGCTTCCGCTGTCAGCTGTGCGCCAAAGAGTTGGCCGACAGTGGCTTCATACGCAACCAGAATCGTGCGCTATGCCATGAATGCAATGCCAAGGTGAAGGCCGAGATAACAGGTCGTTATGTGTGCCAAAAGTGTCAGTAAGTGGACGTGTTTTATAATATTTTTAACTGCATACTAATCCACAATTTAACAGCGGCTTGATTGACGAGGAGCCGTTGCGCTTCCGGGGCGAAGTCTATCATGGCTATCACTTCAATTGCTCGGCCTGCGGCACAGAATTGGATGCCACAGCGCGCGAGGTCAAGAGTCGCCCGGGCCTGGCCGCAAACGATATGGTGGGTACTAGCAATACTTGCAATTTGATCATTTTAAACATTATATATGTTTTCATTTCAACAGAACGAACTGTATTGTCTACGCTGTCACGACAAGATGGGCATTCCCATTTGCGGCGCCTGTCGTCGACCAATTGAGGAGCGTGTGGTTACAGCGCTGGGCAAGCACTGGCACGTCGAGCATTTCGTGTGCGCCAAGTGCGAGAAGCCCTTCCTGGGTCATCGTCACTACGAGAAGCGCGGTCTCGCATACTGCGAGACGCATTATCATCAGCTCTTTGGCAATCTGTGCTTTGTGTGCAACCAGGTCATTGGTGGAGATGGTATGTTAACTTCTGCACCATTCGTACATCCCCATAAATAACATCTTAATTGTTTTCCCTCTAGTTTTCACCGCTTTAAACAAGGCGTGGTGCGTGCATCATTTTGCCTGCTCCGTGTGCGATACGAAAATGACGCAGAAATCAAAATTCTACGAGTACGATGAGAAGCCGGTGTGCAAGAAATGCTATGAACGGTTTCCCAATGAGCTGCGACGTCGCTTGCGCACCGCACACGAGATGACCATGAAGAAGAATGTCTAGTGGATGAGCTGCAGCCTCGAACTGCCCAGCCTTCCATCACACAAATCTACACCAAAACGTGTTAAGTCAAAGTGCCTTCTGTCGTTCAGCACAAACGACCGCTTAGTTCTCTGTTTGTAGTTGTCCACTTCTAACATTCGATGTTAATTCTCGAAACTAAAAACTTGTGCCTTTCTTCACATTTCTGTAACATTGTAATTTTTGTTGTACTGTGTCATTTCTAAACAAAGGCGTGTACCGTTTTGATATCGCTTATCTTTTATTTGTAGCTGTTATCAACGGCAAGCATAACAAAACAAAATATTGTATTGACAGCTGTTATCTAATTGAATTTTATTTATATACATAAATGTTTTTATAATAAAAGAAAATTTAAAAGCATGCGAATTTAACGTTTTTGTTTTTCAATTACTTTATTTATATTTCTCATTTTTCAAAGTGAAGTTCGCTAAATTCATAGCAAAGACAAGAACCAGTCATGTTAACGCAAATGCGAGTCGCTAACGCAATATTCAGCTCCTGTTAAACTTGATAATATATCGAAATTGAATTTCGACTGTTATGCTAGCTGCTGTTAATGGAGTTTTTAAATTTATATTTTTAAATAACGAACAGATTAATTTATTAAAATTTATTGCATATTGCTGCATCATTAGGTAAAAAGTAAATTTCATTTTAAATCATTATCGGGGGATATAGTTGTTTAATATTAAAATAACAGTGCTTAGCTGTTCTGTGTTGAGAAATTTTAGAATACAAATAGTAAAAGAGATGCTGGTATAATTATATTTTCTTTGGTTTTGCCTTAATAGCCTTTGGTTATAGCTACCTATTTTCAATGACTAAAGCCATTATTTCTTGTAAATTTTTCTTCGTCTCTCTGACCTCGGCGCAGAGTTAATAATTTTATTGATAATTGGCTGCCTTAGACCTGGCAACTGGCAATGCGATGTCTTTATTCGTACTGGCTGCATGCAGTTGCAATTTATAGCGTGCATTACGGCAGACAGTTTAATTGGGCATCGACGTTTATTAATTTGTCCTGGGTCCCAGGCCAAGCTGGCTGCAATTTACCCAAATCCCTTGGACTCATTGCATTTCAACACGTTAGGCAATTTCACTTTTCCGACTGCCCCGATGAAGCCAAAAAAGCTACGCACATTAATTAGACCCCTTCATTAGACACATGCCCATCAAGGCAGGGCTGGACCAGGACCAGGTCCAGGATCCGATCCAGCAATGACGAGTGCGCCGGCGGCCATGTCCAGATCCGAAGCTCGTGCATTGTATTGCCAGTTTTATGTAATTAAGCCAGACGCGCTCACAATTTAAATTGCTGCCGTGCCTCCTCCCGATCTTCATACGCGTCTCTCTCTGTATCTGTATCACGAATTGGCAATTGGCCAGGCCGAGTTGGCGCAATTTGCACAGAGCCCGGCCAAAACCGAGCTCCTCCACATCAAGATCCAGATCCAGATCCAGCAGCATCGTCTTTTTTTGTTGCTGCTGCGTCTGCGATGCGACGTTCGCTCGTCAGCGTTTGAGCCAATAATTATGGTTATTAATCGGCCAGAGAATTGGCTGCTAATTTGCAGTTTAGTTACAAATTCTGGCCGCCAGCGTGCAATTACCCGCTTAAATTATAGCTTCAAAATAAACAAAACGCCGCAACGCCCGAGCGAGAGAGAGAGAGAGAGAGAGAGAGAGAACTGGCCAAAAGTTGGCGCGGACAAAAGGTCATGTGCCGTATGGCCGAGACGCACATTGCATTTTATGTGTTTGCTTATCAAAAGCCATCAGAGTCTACGCTGCTCATCAGCTAATGATGCCGGGATTCATGCTGCTGCTGCTCCGGTTGCTCCGGCTGCTCCGACTGCTGCGGCTGCTGCAATCAGCGTTCAGCAGCTGGAGTCATAATTAGACGGCCCAGTGCCAGTCCTGGGCGTTACTCAATCATGGCCTGATGGCACAACCCCCAAGACGAATCTATCGCCTGCGCCAGGCTGCACGATCAGCGCAGCTACAACATAATTTCCAGACTTGATCCCTTGTCCAATTTAAAAGGCGCTCGCATTTCGCGGCCACGGCAACACTTTTGCTCAGCCAAATCAAATCGTGTGCTGTTTATTTAAATAACCATAATTTAGCAGCGCTTCTCCTCTCAGAGAGGGAGGGGGAGGGGTGGGGGGATTGCCCATTTATTAACCCCCACACACACACACACACTGCTGCAGCAGTTTTGATCGTGGCGAGCATTTCAGTTTTATGGCTGATCCGTTCCCAATGCCCGGCTCCATGAATTTTCATGCCTTGTGAGAACTATAAAAATTCAATTTAATATGCTCTCGACTTCGTTTCGGAGCCCGGCTTCGAGTAGGTTTTTTTTTTTAGCGGGAAAACGTTTTGTCTACGGGCAGTCCAGTTAATGAAAATTTAGTTCAATCAACGTGGATAAACGTGTTCGTATCCATTTGGACAATGTGGCAAAGTACTTTACCCTGGTTATGGGCTATGTCTATTTTGTTGTAGGTGTTGATTGGCTGATGAAAAAAGATCCAATGTTGTTTGTTGATATTGTCACTCCGATCATTTGGTGAAAATTAAGACAATGTGTTACTGTTACCTACAGCAGAAGGTTGAAGACCAGAAATATGTTAAAAGAAAATTTCATCATAACTTTTAAATATACACAGACGTATCAGATTTCCCTGGCAGTCACTTATTTAAGAAATAAATACCTAATAGTATTCAATAGAGGTAGAAATCTAAAGTGGAATACGCGAGTAAAAGAGAGAACAGAACTTGAAAAATATAACTATTTTATGAACACTTTAATATATATGCGAATCAATGTAAGCCTTAATTGATCTCATGAAAATCACATAGAAGGGCAATGTAATTTCTTGTGGTTGCTTAAGGGCATGAGAATCTCATAGAAAGGCGCGCGTCATTTAAGAAAGTAAGTAGCAGATTAAGAATGGCAAATCATGTCTAAAAATAAGAAGATTTGAATGAAATGCGTCAATTTTTGAATTAAATAAAGTACACTTGAGCTGGATATCGTATATGAGAACGAAAATGTACAAATTTGAGAGCTCTATCTATATTAACCTCCCATAAATGGGCTATTTCTGGTTGTTTATGTTTATGCCAATAATATATGTTAATTTATGGCACCAAATATTGCTCGCATTCTTATACTATTAATGCCTTTGCTTATAAATAGTTCAAGTGTTTGCTGCATAGCACAATAAATGCCATTATTAACGATTTATGATCGGGGTAACTGCAACAAAATTGGCCAAGCCGCGACTCCGGTCCGCTGATTCCCCGTGTCCGCTTGGGCACTCGGCACGTCAGGTTTGAAAAAAAATGAGCTTGTTAACGCTCCATGATGAGCCTAGTTAGTGTCCGCTGCCATGATCTAAACCATATAACCCGAAGCACTGAATCGATCGATAGTTGGACGGATGGTTGCCTGGATGCATGCTTGGTTGGATTGGATGGCTTGGATGCACACACTGCGCTCCAGCAGAGGCCGTCATTAGAGCTTTATGCAAAATTATGAACACGATAACACGTAATCATTAGCGATGCGCAAAATCGCTGCCCCAGACGGTGTGAGCAAACAGTTTGAGATGAAGCAGCGACAACAAAAGCAACAACTACCAGAGGTAAGAATATTCTAGTAGGAAATGCCCGACTAGGAGATACCCACAGATTCAAACGGATTTTTCTGTCTTTGACCCTATACTAAGTATGCGAAAGAAATTTAGATTAACCTCGGGGTCCGATCTGTATAAAATATTCAGGTCCTTAATATAGCATACTAAATTTATATATATTTTTTTATGCTGACGGCTTCTTTTATTTTGTACCCTAATGACAATTTTTGATTAATCTCGGTGCTTATTGTCCGATCTTTATAAAATAGTCAGGGCTTAAGTATAGCAATAGTAAAATGTTGTGCATACCAAAGTTCTAGGCTATGGTATATAATTCTTTTTCTATATTTCATCCCAGTACTATGTATGCGACAACGGCTATTCTTGATTAACCTCGGTGCTTATAGTCCGATCTTTATAAAATAGTCAGGCCATAATTATAGCATAGAACATTTTGTACATACCAAAGTGTATAATAAAAAATATGTACATAATTTTTTTTTTAATAATAATCTCAGTCTGTCAACAAGAATCTACATCCCAGTGAAAATAACTCTATTCTGATCGATTTTCATCGATTTCTTAGAAACAGCTTGAGTTATCGATAATTGGGATAGGAAGAGATACGCTTAAAATTTCTAATATAGTTAGTTTTTATAGTCTCTGAGATCCACGCCTAAAATTTCTAGTTTAGTTAGCTTTTATAGTCTCTGAGATCTACGCCTAAAATTTCCAGTCTAGTTCGTTTTTATAGTCTCAGAGATCGACGTGTTCATACGTTTGGCTCAATTTACTCGGCTGTTAATGCAGTTCTGCCTGTTACATACACTTACACATAAACAATATACCCTATTTACCAATTAGCAATGGGTATAAAAGCAACAACAACAGCAAAAACGACTTCAATTTGCAGTTTCATTATCAAACGAGGCAAAGAACATAATTTGACTAAGGCCAAAAACATTTGGCAACGTCTACGTCTACGGCTAAAAGAGTCCAATTTGCAGTTGTTGTTGTTGTTGTTGTTGTTGTTGTTGCTGCTGATGTTGCCAGGGCCCGGGCTAGTAGTAGTCAGTCTATCGATCACGTTTCAAACTGAAAGGCACGACCATGACGACGATGTGGCTCCGATTATGGCCACGCTTGTTGTTGTTGTTGTTGTTGTCGTAGACGCCATTGTTCGTTCTATCAGCCGTAGAGCGGGAGTTGGGTGTAGGGGGGGGGGGGGGAGTCGGGAAATGCTGACGGTTTAGAACTTTTTATGCAATTAATTGCAACAGTTTTGTGGTTGGAATGCGCTTGTCCGTCCGCCCGTCCGTCCGTCCGCCGCCCGCTGCTGCTGCCGTTCTAACCACTTGCCGTTAATTTAAAAATTGTGCTCACGTTCTGGCAATTTGCTGACCACCCACATGCAAATGCAAATGCAAATCAAAAACAAAAACAAAAACGAAAACAAAGAACAAAAGCCACCCCTCACCTGAATTCGATTCGTGGAAAATTAGACGCCAGTTACCTGTGTGCCCGGCAGCGTGTGTGCCAAGCCGCAACGGGCTGAGCATTGAGCATTTCATTTGCAAGTTGCCAGTTGCAAATTTGTATTGAGTCTGCGCCTGCTCTTTGTCTAATTTGACACTTGGGGCAGTTGCACAATTGAGTTGGCCAGGCCAGGACAGGTAGTGGAACACGAGGCGCCTCTTTATGCATGCCAAGCAGCCGGGCCGC